CCCGCGGCCGCCGAGTGCCCCTCCTCTGGCTTTCTAAACACACGCGTGCTTCACCCCGGCTGGGGCGCCAGCCTGCGCACCGAAGGGCTGCACAGGCCTGGGGTGCGGGCCAGGTCCCCGGCTGGGGGCACCTGAGAAGCAACCACACATTCATGCTTTCCTCCTCTTTCGCCCTCCCTTCCCCTCCCTTTAAAAATAAATTTTAAAAAATCTTTCAAGAAAACGAAAAGGATGATTTGAAGATGTTCGGCGCCGCAGGGACTGGGGAGGAGAGTACTCCACGAAACGCACACGCATGCGGCGAGTGGAAGCGGAAGTGGGTTCCACCGGGGCTCGTCCGCACGGATGGGGCCGCCACCCCACCCGGCCCCTCGTGCAGGGCCTGCTGCTGCTCCCCGTCCACAGGTGGGGCCCGGCGCCCGGCTCTGGGACGACCCTCTCCGGCCGGGCCCACGCCCGAGCCCGTCCCCGCTCGCCTGCCGTCTGAGCAGTTCGGAGACGGGACACACGCACGCACGGCACACACACACCCAGGAGAGGGTGCGCCCGCGGCGTCTGGCACTCTCACGGACGTCTGCGGCCACCAGGACCAGGTGTCTGCAGAGCGTTCTCGTCGCCCTCACCCCCTGGCCGTGACACCCCCTGGCCGTGACACCCCTGGCCCCTGTGCAACTGGGCACGAGCTTCCCGTGTCTGCGGACCTGCCCGTTCTGGACGCCTCCTATCAAGCAGCTGCGCAGTGAGTGAGTGGGGGGCCTGTCGCCGTTCCCCGCGTGGTGTGTGTGCAAGGCAGGGCCGAGCGGTACTCCGTGGACAGACAGACCACGGGCGACTTGTCCCTCCGGCACGGACGCTCAGCAGTCGCTTCTTCCCTTCCGGCCGCCTCGACCCCCCTCCGTCCTTCTGGGCCCCCTGGGAGCTGGCCCTTGAGACACACTCTCACGAGCGACTCTGACCACGCTGAACCCGCCTGGCCCCTCCTTGGCATTTGCCTCTCCGGGAGCAGCACGTCCCCGCTCTGCCGCGGGGATGTCATGTACAGGAGCAACGGGGCGCACGAGGCCCCGGGGGGAGGGGTGGGGCGGGGCGAGGGGCCGCCCTCAGCGACCTTGCTTCGTGTTCACAGTCTCCACGGGGACACAAATGTCACTGGGGTCCCATTCGACTGTGCGCTCTCTGCGCGGTGTCTGCTGGCTCGGAAAGGTTAGGGGGCGCGGGTGGGGAGGGGGGTGGACCCAGGCGAGAGGAGTCCAGGATGGTCCCTGATGATGTGGCTATTTAGAGAGAGACCGCACGGCGGGGGAGGGAGTCACGGGGACACACCGCCCACCTCCGGCCGCAGTAAGGCACGTGTCGGCCCAGGTGGACCATGTGGAGAGCAGCCAGGGCTCCAGGGAGACACCTGGTCGGAAACGGAGACGGAGCCTCAGCTGAGGGTGGGCTCCCGCCGGCAGCGGGAGAAGTGAGCCGAGTTCACCGGCCAACTGAGTTGATGCAGGTCGATGTGGCAGTTTCAGGCAGTGCCTGGAGTTTACAACACCCTCCACTTAACGCGTGCACTTGCTCTCCTCCGTCAAGTTCCTGAATCCCTGCAAGATCGGCCGGAACTCACAGGTGAGCTCCCCACCACCGCGGGGGCCTCACTCCGAACCCTCCCACGTCTCTGGCTCCGGGGGGGGGGGGGCAGGTGCCAACCAGACTGGGGAAAGGACTCCTCCTGGGAGGAAGGGGCCGCAGAAACCGGTGTGCTCCCCACCCCCGGAGGAGATGCGCCCGGCCTCCCCGAAGCAGCCCAGGGCCACCGGCAGTGAGCCCACCGAAAGCGCACTGGGGAAGAGCTGTGTTCTTCATAAACGGGGCTGCTGGCACACGGAGGGGTGGGCGGCGTCTCACGCACGTCCCGTCCCCAGAGACTTCAGTGCGCCAGGATCCCCTCCAGCGGGACAGTGGCCACAAGCCCGGTCACCACGCATCAGCCTGAGGTCTCAGGCAGGGGTGCGGCACAGCCGCAAGCCCCTATGCCTCCCCCAGCTGTGTGCCTGAGGGTGCAGCTGCGTGCCCTACCGACGGGCAGGGAGACAGAGAACCGGCGAGTCTCGGCCTTCCTCTCCAGCCTCGAGGGGAACGGTGCCAGAGTGAGAGCTGCCAGGCCAGCGCTGCGGCCAGGGCAACGGTGGCCGGAATGTGGGAGCCCATGAGCCCGGGCAGCGGCCCCCGCCCCGTCCTGCTTCTTCCCGACGGCCGTCCCGTGGGGTCGGATTTTTATACAGCCTCTCAGACGAGGCCGTGGGTTCGGCAGAAAGCAGCCCACGGTCCCTTTCACAAGGGACAGGCGTGGGTTCTGGGTGAAACCCCCTGGACGGGCTCGGTCGGGGTGCAGGACCCTGCCTTTCCTGCCGCGGTGCCCGAGGAGGAGCCGCAGTGCGTTCACGTGGCAGTGCGGGGACGAGACGCTCGCCGTCCCCGGCTCCTTCCCAGTCCGAGCCGGCACGGAGCGTGAGCCGCGGGTGCCCCTACCTGCGGGCCAGACACGGTGCAGGCCACGGGCTCACCCAGCACCGAACCGTGAAATGAAACCACCGCCGGGCAAAGAATGCAACAGGGGAGGGGCGAGGAATCAAAACAGTCTCGAATTCCGAGCTTTGAAAAGGTTTATTTTTTCCAAAGTGAAGCCTTCCTGGGTAGGACCACCAGGGAAGGACAAGAACGGCCATGTCTCGAAATCCATTTATTATTTCTCCTGTGCTTCACAAAACCCACTGAGTGGGAAGGGACAACACGGGCCAAGGGTCGGGACCTGGGCATGGAGACCCCCTGGCGTGGCCGGGCTGCTCGGGCAGCAGGCCCTGCCCCGTCCCGGCCGGAAGGGGTCCGCTCTGGGGGGAGGTGCCCGGATCCGGGTGGCCGCAGTCCGCTGGCCACAGCCGGCCGCGCCCTGTCAACACCCGCCGAGCTGTCCCTGTTCCTAGAATCCAGAAGCGGGAAAGGCCGGGAGGAAGGGGGCCATGCATGACCTTGAAGGTGCCTCCTGCCCGCCCGCCTTCTCCCCTCCCCCCTACCTTTTCCCCTCCCCCCCAGCTCCGTCCTTGGAGTCAGGACTGAGCAAACACGGTGGGTGTCAGCCCACAAGCCGGCTCCTGTCTCGGTGTTTCCTGGGCGCCCACCGCAGGCCGGGCGCCCGCGGTCCACACAGCAGGACCGTGAGGCGGGATCGTCCCGACCAGCCCGACCGTCTGGGCCTGCGGTGACCGGCACCGGCCATGCCGCCGGTCGGGGGCAGAATCCACCGGGGGCCGAATTCAGGTTCAGTTCAAGTCCGCTGAGCAGGTGCAGGAGCTTTGGTCCCCATCCACAGATCTGTAGGTAAGTTTCTGGGTTCGGTTCCTCCCCTCCCCACAAAGTGTTTTCCTGGACATCAGGAAAACGTGGCATCGTGACAGCACGAAACTGGTGCGCGGTCTGGAGCCCAGCACAGCAGCACTCGCGTCGGCTGGGTTCCGCCGTCCGAGGTCCCAGCATGCTCTCCCCGGCGGCAGTGCCCCAGGCCCGGCGGAAGCGCAGGTCCATCGGAGGCGGGCCACGGACGCCCCCATGAGCGAGGAGCACACTGGGCAGGGCAGGCTCGGGCCTCCCGGCCGGGCAGCCCACACTGAGAGGGAGGGTTCCGCGTCCCCCGCCCACCCGTCTGTCCCTGGGAGAGATGGGAAGCCACACGCCTCCTTGAACTGCGGCGGTTGGTCGGCCTCCTCGGTCCCGGCAGCCGGAGGTCAGCAGCAGGCGGGGGTCTGGCACTGCCCACGCAGGAAAGGCAGCTCTCGCTTGGGTCACCCGGGCACCCCCGCTTAGGCCACCCGCCCATCCCGGGCACCCTCGACACCGCCGCCTGCCAACACCCGCCCTGGACCCCCAGTTGCAGGGGGGACAGCGAGAGGGCGTTCCGAGGCGGGCGTGGGAAGCCTGGGTGCTGGGGGGGCGGGGGGGAGGGCTCCAGCTCCAGGGCCCAGGGCCGTCCTCGCTCGGGGCTCCGCAGAAGCCCCCGTCGTCAGGGACCCAGGACACACGAGTGGAGTATCTGCCCCATCACCTCCGACTGACACTGCACTTCGCGTCGCTGCCGTAAGCAGGGTTTCTGGGGGTCGCCGCCGCGGGCAGAACTCACTCGAGGAGCCTCTTGACCACAGCTTTTTCACCGTGGAGCCGGCCCTGGACTCGCAGCCGAGGTGCATGGACACTGCAGGTCCCCAGCCTCTGCCCTCTCTCCTGAGCCGCCCACCGCCAAGACCAAGGCACCGACGTGACCCGAACACGACCAGACTCCTCTGCCCCGCTCCGCCCAGAACCCGACGAAGGAAAGGGGGGGCGAGGCCAGCATTCCCCCCTCGGTCCTGAACTGTCCCACCCCACGGAAACCAGGACAGTTCTTCGTGCCACGGACGCCGCTCGAGTGTCCTGGTTTGGAACACAGAGTGTGAGGTTATCCGAGGTGCACATTCCGTGAAGACGAAAGGGAAGCCAGGCCGAGCCCGCAACTCTTGCCCAGAACCTCGCGTTGCTCTGCCGGACGCTTCTGTGCGGCTGACACGGAGAAGGCACAGGTCCCCGCGGAGGCGGCGCTCACGGCCCTCTCCTGCCGTGCGCCTCCCTGTCCTGGCTGCTCCCGACCCCGGTGAGGGCCCCGCGGTCCAAGGACAGGCTGGGACCACCACCCTTCAATTCTGTGCTGCGGGGTGGCCGTGGAGATATCTTCCAGCTTTCCTAAAAAACAAACCATACACACACACACACACACACACACACAGGTGTTCGGCAGGAGGGTGACAGCAGAGACCAGGCTGCTCGACACAGGGACCCCTCCCCTTCGCTCCGGAGCGCCCGGGCAGTCCTTCGGGTCCGCGTGCTGCTGGGGAGGAGGGGTTGCAGAAGGCGCCTCTCTCGGCCCACGTCCACACGGGCAACACGGTCAGAACCAGAAGCCCGCCACGGAAGAAATCCCAGGAGAGTCCAACTTGGAAAGAGTTTAATTAACAAAATAAAGCGGGGGCCATGGTCCAGGAGGGCCCCGGGGGCCCCCCGAGGAGCAGCCCGCTCTGCAGGTGGGCCGCGTGAGCACGGGGGTGACGGCCCCGCGCCCGCACTCGTCCGGAGGGGCCTCCCGCTGCTGTCCGGGCGGGCTTGGCACATCCACGCATGCAAAGCAGGAAGGTTCCGAGGGCTTCACCAGACAGTTAATTTTGGCAAAAAGAGAAAACAAAGAGCTAAAACTCATAGCGGGGTTAAAAGCCACTGAAGTGAAAACCATGTATTTCGACAGTATGGGACGGGCTACAGCTACACCCCCTTTCCGTCTGCCGAGTCTCTGCCATCCTCTCCCCAACGCAGGTCGCAGTTCGCAGCAGCGTGACGCAGCGTCCTCCGCCAGCCCGTGTGCTCTGCGGGGCCGGGGCCCCCGGGCCAGGTCAGTCCGTCCGGAGAACCATGGGCGGGTGCTCGCCGTCCTCCTCCAGCCGCAGGGCGCGGGCCGCCTCCTCCTCCAGCCGCACGCCGCCCACTGCGCCCGGCTCGTCCCCGCGGGCTGCGAAGAGAGGCGGTCAGTCAGCTCAGGGGTCCCCACAGCCCGAGTTTCCATCTCCCCGACCAACAAGCTTTCTACAGCCTTGGGCAACTCTAGACACAGTCGCCTCTTCCCCAAGTTCTTAACTTTCAAAGAGACGGCAGCAGAGCGCACGGGCGCTTCCCGACCGGCTACGTGAGACGCTCTAACACCAGACACGAGACGCACAGCCCCCTCCAATGGGGAGGCACTCCATCGAAGAGGAGCGGTGAGTGGGGACGCTCTCCCCCGAGGGCAAGGCTACGGGGCCACCCGTGAGGGCAAGCTGCTTTCTTGGGGGAGACAACTCACGGGAGAGGAACAGCCGCGGCCGATGGGCCGCCCGCCCACCCACCCGCACACAGACGGACGCTTCTGCGAGGGCCCGCGCGTAGGCCGCCGTCCAGCTGCAGCCGCTCTCCTCCCGGGGCCCAAAAGCTCGCCCCCCCACCATGAGCCTGTGGACCCATCAGACAGGTGGGCGGGCGGGTGGGCCGCCGGCCTCCCTCCCGCCGAGCCCTTACCCAGTCCGGTCGGAGAGGCGGGCGCGTGAGTACCTTTGGCGGCGGCTGCACTGTAGGTCTGCGCCACCAGGGGGCAGTCGTGAGAGGCGGAGTCTAGGATTTCGTTGGTTGTCTCCATGCTGCCATCCAACCTGGTGAACATGGAGCAAACATCAGTGAGGGCGTCACGGGCGAGGGTCGCACGCCAGGACACGTGCGCACTGGTAACTATAGCGACTGCGTGTCTGCTCGCCTGAACTTCCACGTGGAGAGTCTAGTGAAAAACTAACTCCTGGTGAGACAGTCTCGTGCCATTTGAGACTAACGATCACAGACGGAGTTTGCTGTAAAAACACGCCCCAGCTCCACCCCAGGGCATCACCACGTTGTTGTAATCGTTGGGTTAAAAAATGAAAAAGTGAAACTACTTCCCCGTCGACAAACACTACCCCCGCCTTTCAGAGAGACAACCAACCCCACAGCGAGACAGCAGGCTCCCAAAACTGCGCCCTGGGCCGTGGCTGGCGGCACTCAACCCCGCCCCCCCCGCTTCCCCGCGGCCCGCTCAGTCCAGCGCAGACCACCCCCAGAGAGGGGCCCGCCCCCACCCGGACGGCAGGTGTGCCCGAGTCCGCCTGGGAACTGCACGGGGCCCCTGGCCGGCGCGAGTGGGTCTCGAGTGTCTGTGCCGCACCGGGCCGTCTGGGAGGCGGGGCTCCCGGCCGGGGTGGCCGCACCGGACTGTGCCCGCGCGCACCGCTGGCTCCCGAGGACGTGAACACACAGGCGCCGACGGCAGCCGGACGGCGGCACAGAGACAGCCTGAGGCGGCGGCAGCGGCCAGGAGAGGCCCACTCACTTGTGCTGCTTCGTGAGGGTGCACTCGCCTCCCTCCTGGGGGTCCAGGTTGTACATGTACAAGTACCCGTCGGCTGCTCCCACCAGCAAGCGGGGGATCTTCTGGATCCTGGTGGGGACAGAGAGCAGCCGCGTTCCAGGGCACCGGCTTCTCGGCGAGCGCGCAGCCTCGTCTCTGGCGCGGCTGGGGAAGCCCCTCCCCCGCAAAGAGCAGGGGCAACTTCAGGGTCATGCGCCTGGCCTGCTGTGCGTGCGTGGACAAAGATCGCATCCCCAGGCGACCCGCGGCCACAGCACCAAAAGCACCGATGCCTGGGGGCGAGCGGGCGGGCCCCCGGCTCCTGGTCCCTCGACCTCCCGGGGCGGCCAATCCCATGAGACTTGCCCTTGTGAGACCCACGGCCTCACAGACAGGCGCTGTCCCGAGCTTCCAGCTCCACTTGGGCAGCACCCCCGCGGGGGCCCAGGCCCCGGGCACTCGGCAGCTGTCCTCGGCTGGTCCCGTGGCCCAGGGTGAGGGCGCGCCCCCGCAGCTCGGGCTCGGGGGCATCAGACTGCACTCCACTTGCCCTCGGCCGGCGCCCCGCATCCCGCCCCTACTCACGTGGCCAGGGCGCAGATGTTCTTGTGGCCGCAGAAGGGCAGGCGGACTGTGGCAAAGGCCCTGCCCTGGTTGAACATCTCTGTCACTTGGGACGGCAAGTAGCTGGTGGAGGCCATGAGCACCTTCCCGAAGTAGCCGGTCCAGGTGGTGGGCTCCTCCTGAGGTCTGGGAGGAGGGGAGGTCTCGGGCATGTGACTCTACACCGAAAGTCACCGCGTGCCGCCCACACAGCAACAAGGGTCAGCCCCGAAGCCTGGAGGAGGCGCCTCCCCCCACCGGGAAGAGGCGCCGAGAACTCACCCCTGCAGGAGCCATGCCCCCCAAGGGGCCGAGACCGGGGACAGCCAGGGGCTCCTGGAGACGCGGGGACCCCCGGGGCCAAGCCCACGGTCCGCCACCGGCCCTCCTTGACAGAGGCCGCTGAGAGCCTCACGGGCACCAGCGTCAAACCGCCGTTTCCCCAGAGCCCCTTGCGCGGCCGCCCGCCCGCCCGCCCAGTACGGATCTTCAGGCTACCTCGCGTGCCCCCGGGATAAGGCAGAACGCAAACAACGCCCTCGGTCCGGCGGGACCACGCGCCCGAACCTCCAGAGAAAACGCCGGCAGCACCCCGTTTGCCGTGCGCACCCGCAGTCACACGTGACGTGAACCGGCTGCTTCAGACAGGAGACCCGCCCACAGGCGGGCTGGGGCAAGCCTCCCCTCCCCGGGCAGCGTGCGTGGACGTGCCTCCCTGCTGAAGGGGGCGTCTGTGCCGACCGGAGGCAGCCGCCTCCACCCCCACGCGGACCTCACGCTGAGCGCGCCCCCACACGAGACGGCCGCCTGGCGGGCACAGGCGCCGTCCACCCGGGGCCAGGGGAGGGCCTTCCCGCCGCCGCCCGCGGCTGGCACATGCCGGCCTCCCTGCCCTGCTGCCACTGAAGCAGGCCCCCCGCCCGCCCGCCTGCCCGCGAGACTCACTTCTCCTTCACAGTCTCGAGCTTGAAGATGTGCACGGTCTCGGTGTTGCTGGAGGCGGACAGGAACATGCCGTCCATGCTGAAGGCCAGGGAGCAGATGCTCACGCACCTGCGGGGCGACAGGAGGCCTGGGCTGCAGGGCCGTCCACCCGCGCAGCCTTCCCGGGGGCTTCGGGCCGGCGCCACGGAGAAGGCAGGCCCCCGAACAGCCCCCCGACTCGGGTCTGCGGGCCGCCTTCTCCTCCCTGCAGTCATCTGCGCATAAAGCATCTTGAGGAGAACGTCTGGAAGGTAGTATCAGGCAAGAGCAACTCTTCCCCAGGTTCTTAAACTGCCAACTTTCTTTAACTTAAATTACAGCAACTCTGAGCACACAGAGCGCAGACCGGCAACCTGGACGTTTGGTGGAGTGAAACTCTCAGCACTCAGCCCACGAAGTCTCTACGGTGTGGGGTGAGGACCCCTGGGAAACCTGAGAGCCGGAGGACCCCGTCTCCGTGCGGCCCTGGACACGGGTGGGGCCTGCCCACAGCCGAGCCCCCGGCGTCCAGTGCGGCCCCGGGCGCGCAGGCCTGGCCAGCCCACCCGCCTACAGGCGCCTGTGGAGCCCTACCAGCTGCCAGCGAGACAGCGTGTGACGACCGGGGGCAGGGGCTGCAGAGGCCGAGGGGCTGCACCGCCACAGGGTGGGGAGGCGCTTCCAGGGACACGTGTGGTGCTGCCCGGAAGGGCTCGGGGGTCGTCCACATGACAGCCGAGTGCAGGAGGCAGCACTTGCGAGACCCCTGTGGGGACGGCTCCTGCTCCAAGGGGCCGACTGGGGTGTGGGGTGTGGGGTGTGGGGGTGTGGCCAGGACCAGGAGCGACAGGGAGGGAAGGAGACACCGCTGGGATGAGTTTGGAGCCGACCCCACTGGCACGAGGAGGCGGCAGCACCAGGGTCCGGGTGGGGTGGGCTCGAACCGCATGCTCCAAGAACAGCGGGGCCGGAGTGACCGACGGGGCCCACGGCACAGATGGGCAAGTGCGAGCTCAGAGGTGACCTGAACGGGGCGGGAGGAGGAAGCCGGACGGGACGCGAGAAAGGGGGGACGTAGGGAGGGGGTGGGGCGGCCCTGGGGGAGCCGACAGGCCTGTGGCCTAACTGGGCCTGCATGAAAGGGGGGAGAGAACCCGTGCCGGGTGCCCCCGAGTCCCTCTGGCTTGGGCCGGGGGACGGCCAGCGGCACCGGTTTACCAAGGAGAGGGTGTGAGCAGACAGGGTGCTCTGGCTGGTGGCGCCCGGCACCCAGCAGGCACCTCAGGAAACGCAGCAGCCCGGGCTACAGGCACGTGACACCGTTCAGGAGGGCGCGTGGCTGTAGGGGCGAGGAGAGGGCCCCCGGCAGAGACGAGAGACGGGAGGGAACAGAGCCGGGGGAAGAGCCGCGAGTGTGGCGCAGGCACAAGCAAGGGAGGAAGGGAAGAGGGAAAGACAGGCGGGGTGACAGGGGGGGCCGGCTGCCTAGCTTTGGAGACAGGAGGTTTGAGCTCACTGCCGACCTGTGGGACCCATGCCCGAGAGCGAGGGGCGGCAGTCCAGGGTGAGGCGCCCCGGAGGGACGGGGACGAGAAGTGGGGACGGACACACACAGCCACAAGTCCTAACGCACTTCCCAGGTACCAGCACTTCCCGGCCCAGCTCCTGACCCTGGGGAGCCGGGCTCCACCGCACACCTGACTGGGATGGACCCGAGCTCCAGAGGTCCAGTACCGCTGGGCAAGGTCACAGGCTATAGGCGGGGCCCGGGGATCTGGACCTGGAGCCCGGGCCCCCCTCTCTCCCGGGAGCCCTGAGGCAGAGGGCCCCGGAGTAACCAGGGCAGCGCCCCTCCCCCAGCAGGTCGAGGGAGGAGGGACAGCGAGGGGAGGGAGCCCCACACCGCGGCTCATGGTGTGCCCGCGTTTGGTTTTAGAGGGGAAGGGAGGGAGCAAGAGAGGGAGAGAAACATCCATGTGCAAGAGACACCTCAACTGGCTGTCTCTCACACGCCCCACTGGGGACCTGGCCTGCAGCCCAGGCGTGTGCCCTTCCGGTCCACGGGTCGGAGCTCAGATTGAGCCCAGGCCCCCAGTGAGGGCGTGCGAGAGGCAGCTGACCGGTGCATCTCTTGCACATGGATGTTTCTCCCTCCCTCCCTTCCCCTCTCTAAAAATAAATAAATAAAATCTTAAAAAATGGAAAGGACAGACAAGAGCCAGGCCTTCTGCGGGGGTGAAAGGCGAGGCGGTCACCGTTTTCGGGGCAGAGAGTGAGGACAGAGCCCGCTGAGCAGGCTGGAAGCCCTTGGCCGCCACAGGGCCGGCCGCGGACAGCACGAAGCCGCCCCACTCCCCGATCTGGCCATCGCCCTGCACCCAGGCAGGGTGACGGGCAAACTGAACCCAGCTGGCTCTAAGAAGTGCCCCCGTCACCTCCCAGGACCACAGAGCTGGGCTGGAAATGCCTGTTCACCTGGACGCCCGGGGCGCACGGCCCCCCCGCTGGCCACAGAGAACACGGGACTGAAATCCGCAGAGCGGCTGCACGTGCCGCTCTGGAGACTCACGTACTTTACCTCTTAACTCCTCTCCGGAACTCAAAAAGTTTCTGTCCCTCTGGAATGGAAAAGACCCGAATCACAGTCCCCTGCGACAGGAGGAAAGGAAAGGAAACAGGATTTCAGCTGAGTGAAAACGCACTCTCCTTCCTGTGGGACTGGACACGAACCGCATGGCCGGGGCGCGGGGGTGGGAGCCCCTCCTGGCCGGCCGCCGTGGGCGCTCCGCACGGCCACTGTCTCGCTTTCGGCCACGGGCACGGCAGGACGCCCTCCTCACCCCGAACGCACCGTTCATTCTAACCACTGACGACGGCCTGACGCCGAATGTGGAACAGACTGGCTTTAGTTTTCAAAGCCGCCTGAAGTTCAAACTGCTAAAGACCAACCCTTCAGGGGTGTGGCCCACACTGGGAAGCACTGCCTGACGGACGGCCTGGAGAAGCTCAAGGTCCCCTGACGTCCGTTCTTGCCGCTCTGAGCTACTGAGCGGGGGACCCGACGGGCTGGAAATGTCACCCAGCTGCTCAGACAGGGTCTGCCCAGACCTACACAGCAGCGAGGCCACGCTAAGAGAACTCCCAAGACAAGAGAAAGTGTGAGGGCGCGGCGAGAGCTACAGCAGCTCCCTGAGTGGACAGGAACTGTGTGGAGGGCGGCTGTTTTCCCGCCACGCTCTGCCTCCCCCTCCTGAAACGTGCACAGGCCGGGTAGGCAGACGGGGCGAGAACACCTGGGAGGCTCAGAGAGAGACCTGCCCCGAAAGTGAAACCGGGTGGTGCTGCCGTGCCGTGTGCTCACGCCGCACGCCCTGGCGAGTGTGTGGCTGCGCGAGGCACTTTGGCCCTGGCCGGGGAGAGCCCAGCCGCCCCTGTGCCGCTCCGTGCTCGGGCAGACACAGGAGCCCGGCGGGCGGCCGGCCCGTGTGAGCAGCGTGGGGGTCCGCCGGGGCCGAGGGCCAGCTCCCCGCGGGGCCAGCTCTCCTACCTTCTCCGAAGCGGTGGCGAGCTTGGTGCCGCTGGCGTCGAAAGCCAGCGCGGCCAAAGGACTGTCGTGAGCAGGGATCATGTTGGCAGCCCTCTGGAAGGGAGAACCGGTCCAACGTGACTCCGACCCAGTCTACGCACCCACCAGGGCCACCTGGTTCACTGGGGTGGGGGGTGGGGTGGGGCGGGGTGGGGGGGGCAAGGGGGTGTGCTCAAAACCTTCAAAACGTGAAGCCATGTACCCCGAGGCGTCTGGGGTTTCCTCCGTCCCTCCCAGCCCTCACCCTGGGGGAGCGGACGGAGTGGTGGGCGCCTCGCTGGCCAGGGGATGGCGGGCAGAGCTGCACGTGCCACAGACGCCAGAGGCCCCCTGCCCCCGCTGTAGGGCAGGCGCGCCCGAGAGCTGGCGAGCGCCACGGAGCCTCACCAGGTTGATGGTGTCGAAGACCTGCACCTCCCCGATGGTGGCGCTGCCGGGGTACGCCAGGTAGCAGTTGTCGTTGTTGATGGACAGCGCGCACAGGCCTGAGGACACACCGAGCACAGCGCAGAGTTAGGGTCTGAGGGTGCCCCGGCGGTGCCAGGCACCACAGAGCACCCACTGAGCGAAGAGTGCGGGCGTCGGAGCTCTGGTTACAGGGGTTCGGGCCCCGCCTCGGCCGAGCAGGGTTCTACGGCAGACGAGAGGCATCCTGGCTGGAAGTGACCAGTGACCTCTGAGTGGAAGCTGACCAAACCACTGACAATGTGGCCACAGGACCAGCGCCAGAAGGAGGGGGCTTGGTTTAAGGTCAGGCCATTCTGAATCTGCCAGCGGGAAGCCGGCCCTCAGCCCGGCTGCCCTTCAGCGGGGGGCTCGCAGAGACGCTCCCCCCCACCCCGCTCACCTGCTGGGTTCGGGGGGGTCTCCCTGATGGTGTGCAGCACCTTCATGTCCCGGATGTTGTGGATGTACAGAGACTCTTCCAGGCACACGATGAGCCTCTGGGGGAGAGAGCCGGGGGAGAGAGCCGGGGGGGGGGCGGGGGGTAAAACCCCGAAACACCAGACATGAGGCACAAGCCGAAACACGACTCTCTCCCAACCTTCGCCTGGTGGACTCCTGGATTAGGACGCTTTGCGCTCCTTCCAGGACACCATGCAGGCTGGACCCTCATGCAAGGGACACGGGCATGACCGGGCGGCTCTCCCCGGCACCCTGTTCCCCGTGCCCTGGGAAGGTGACGTCCAGAGCCGGGGCGCCCGTCCCGGGAGGATTTCTGCCAGCTGTGCTAGGATGTCTAATGACGCGATTTGGCCCCGTGTCACAGAACCCGGGCCACCGCCGCCGCCAGGAACAGCACGTGTGGTTGTCCTCGTCTCTCCTCCCTCCCCGCCCCTCACGGAGATGAGACGGGGTGCCGCGGCGGGTCGGTGACCCGACACCTGGTGCCGCGTCAGGCACGGCAAGACGACGGTGGAGCCCAGGAGCTTCTCAGAAGTGCAGACTCGCGCCCGCACCAGGGTGACCTCGCAGGCAGGCGGCTGCGTGCCCGCTGCGTCCCGAGGGGGACGTACTAGCGGCGGCGCCTCAAGGGCACACACACGCTCAGCACACGCATGCGTCAAAGCGGGGCGCGAGCGGCCGAGGCTGACGGCTCTGCCCCAGAGGGAGCCTCTGGGGCGGTGGCACCAGCCAGAGTCACCCTGGAAACCCGGACGTGGGTTTGTGCGTCTGACTCCAAGGAGAGCGTCACTCACCTGCCTGTTCAACTTCACCGCCAGTATCGTGTTGGAGTAGCTGTAGTTGCAGATCTCTGTGCCTTTCTTAAAGTGGCAGACTTTTAGCTTCCTGGGGGCTTTGAGGCTGACGATGGCCACCAAGCTGCTGGAGAACAATCTTTCCACGATGCACACGTCTTCAGTGTCAGCTGCAAGTAGAAGGCGTATCTATGTATCCACATCAACAGGCACAATCGGCTCACACACGCAAACACGGGTCTAAGTGATGATTAGGGAAAGCAGAGCAACCCCAGCTGATGCGGCTCGGTGGACTGAGCGCTGGCCTGCGAACCCAGAGGTCGCCGGTTCAATTCCCGGTCAGGGCACATGCCTGGGTTGCGAGCCAAGCCCCCAGTATGGGGTGGGCATGAGGCACCCAATCGATGTATCTCTCACACATCCATGTTTCTCTCCCTCTCCTTCCCTCTCTCTAAAAATAAATAGAACCCTTAAAAAATAGTACAAAAAAGAAAAAGGGCTATGCGATGGGCGTCCGGTGACAGGGTCAGGCCGCAGTGTGCGCCGGCAGAGCTGTGGGGCAGGCAGGCCGCGGGCGCACCGCTCTCAGGGCCTCCCCGCCAGGAGGCCCCTGCATTCCGCACGGGGGGCCGCCTCTGCAGAGGCCTCGCACACCCTCTGTCGGGGGAGGCCTCCCAGGTCCCTCTCACACCATCCCGGCCACTTCCTCCCGGGCGGCCGGGTGCCATCGCCTGTGTGCCTGCCCACTGGGAGCTCCGGACACGGACTGGACTGTGAGCTCCGTGAGGACAGAGGCCGCATTTCCTGCTCACAGCCACCTCCCTGGCCCTCACAACGGTCCCTGGCGCACAAGAGGCCCCCAAAGAGTCTTTGAATGACTTCCTTCCTGAGGCTTGCTTCCTCCGTGCAGGAAGTGGGATGCCGGCTACTCCGCAGCCCCGGGAGGGAACGGCCAACGCGGCCCAGCCAGGGCCAGCTCTCTGTTCCCCTCAGCTCCCCGCTCCCCGTCAGAGAGGGACTGCCCCGCCTGGAAGACCGAACGGAACGGGATGTGGAGACAGCGTCTTACACAGACAGTGGCGGGCACAGTGGGCCCTCCACAGATACCACTCCACCCCTCCCCACGGCCTGCCCCCCATCTCTCCTTATTACCCCAGGGTACGTTCAGACCTAGACGCAAGAGAACTCTGGAATGTAGGAAAAAGCCCCAGACCGAGGGTCTGGAGGGTCTCCGCCTGCGGCCCGCCGCCCTGAGCTGTGGGAAGGACAGCGGTGCTGTGTGTTTCGAGCACACGCCTGCCATTCACTCAACGGGGCCCCTCAGTCGGTCTCTGCATTGATGCCGTCTCAAGCATAATCCCAGCAGACATTTTTGTTGACAACAACTGACTTTAAAATCAGCCAGTCAGCCCTGGCTGGTGTGGCTCAGTGGACTGAGGGACAGCCTGCAAACCAAAGGGTCACTGGTTCGATTCCCAGTCAGGGCACATGCCTGGGCTGCAGGCCAGGTCCCCAGTAGGGGGCGTGTGAGAGGCAACCACACACTGATGTTTCTCTCCCTCTCCCTCCCTCCCTTCCCCTCTCTAAAAATAAATAAAATCTTAAAAAAAAAAAATCTGCTGGCCAGAGGATCTAGAATATCCAAGGCTACCTTGAAAAAGAACAAAGTTGAAGGGCTTGCGTCATCTGACGTCAAAACTCAGTGTGTGAAGGAAGCGACAGTGACCGAAACAGCGTTACTGACGTGGAGACGGACAGCCCACGGAGGAGGCAGCGAGCAGAGAGAGCCACACCTCCCGGGCTGTCCTAGGCACCAATCCGCCGAAGGGGGAGGAGCCCCGGCGGCCGAGGGCCGGCCAGGAGTCCGTGGGGAAACACCGCCCCGACGCGGCACGCGGCACGCGGTACGCGGCCCACGCCCCACTCCGAGACGGGCCGCCGACCACGCAGAGGCCAGAGCAGCAACGCTGTCGAAGGGACACAGGACAGCGTCGTCAAGACTCGACAGCAGCGAACGCTTCCCAGGAAGGACACCGAGGGCAGGGACCGTAAGTGGGAAAAACCCTGCAAGTCAGACTTCATGGAAACTTAACGTCAACGTGCTAGCTGCGGCTCACCTTTAAGCCGCAGGTGGGGAACACGCTCACCAGGCACCGTCCGGCACGGGACTGGTCCCCGAGCGCCTAAGGAACTCTGACGACTCAGTGAAGACAGACGAACCCCAACCTTAAGGAGGGACCAAACACCCGAGCGGACACCTCACAGGAGACGCAGACCGGCTGACGAGAACGCCCGCCAGCTTCGGCGCCGGGGGCATTCGGAGCAGAGCCGCGACGGGAGGCCACCCTGCGCACCCAGGACGGCCGGCACCGGGAAGACCGGCGACGCCAACACTGCGCGGCGGCAGCGCACCCGACGCGCGCACGGCATCGGAGGGGGTGCGAGATGGGACGGTCACCAGGAGACCCCAGTGGTCCTTGTAAAACGAATCCCGTGCCCCGTGCACAGGTGTTCACTCAAGTGCGTGTAAGCCCACAACGGGAGCCGTGCGAGCCTGTCCCCAGCAGCTCCACCCATCCCAGCGAACACCGGGGAAAGCCCGCGGCTCAGGGGACAGACCGGCTGTCGCTCAGCCCCACACAGTTGGCCCCTGAACGAACGGGGGTGGTCAGGGGCGCCGACCCACCTCGGAGTCGGAAATCCAAGCGTGCACTCTGACCCCAAAAACGTAACTGCCCTCGGTAACCGCAGGGGACTGGCTCCGGGACCCCCGGGGAGACGGGCATTCCCCGAGGCCCGAGCCCCGGTGGGATGGCACGGACGACCACACCCGGCTGCCCCTGCGTCCGCAGGCGGAGGGCAGCACAGGCGCCTGTCCATAGCATCTGTGTGCACAGGGCCCGGACGGCGCACGCCCACACTGTTCCAGGGGAATGGAGACCCGCACCGACGGGGACGGGTCTCAGAAACACTGAGCTGGAAGAGCCCTGCACAAGGGCACACGCCGCATCCGTACGGCGTTTCGGCACAGGCCAGCTCAACCTCCACCCGAGAAGACCCGGAGTACCCCCTCCCGGGGGCTGGAGTGGGGGGAATGGGGGCTGGAGTGAGGCAGTGCGAGGGAACTTCCTGGGGTGACAGTGAACCCTGGCGGGAGTTCCGGTTACACAGATGCTTGCCATCTGCCCACTGCCCCTTCCACCCTGGCCGGTGCGGCTCAGCGGGCTGAGCGCCGGCCTGCAGGCAAGGCTGAAAGGCGGTCGGTTCTGTTCCCAGCCAGGGCGCGTGCCTGGGCGGTGGGCCGGGTCCCCAGGGGGGCCCGCAAGAGGGGAAACGGTGACCATTTCCCTCACACATGACCTTTCTCTCTCTCTCTTTCTCCCTCCCTCTCCCTACCCCTAGGAGTAAATAAATAAAATCTTAAAAAGAAAACGTCTGTTCCATCCTGTGGGAGTGTCGCCCCAGAAGAAAACGACCGCAGCGCCGACTCCAGGCAGCGGCAGCAGCCGCACCGAAGCGCCCGGCCCCACCCACCGACATAAGTGAAGGGCCTATGGGCAGGGCGGGCGCTCTTTTCCCATCCACTGGGAAGTCTGAAAACTTTTTTTGGGCAATTTTAATGAAGAAGAAGAAGAAAAAAAGTAGATGAGAGCTCTTTCAGAGCTTCACAGACAGAGGGTGTGTGTGCCCGCGGGAGGGCTGTCTGTACCTGGCAGCACCCTCGGAAGAGGCCGGCGTAACAAACGCCCACATCCACCTGCCCATCACCCGGGCTGAGCAGACACTAACCTTCCGACTTCAGCTTCGCCTGTTTTTCTTTTCTGAAGTTTCGAAGAAGGCCATGGCCCTGACTCCCCCCTGCAAACGTGCCAGGAAGCCCTCTACACAGACGAGCCCGTAGGAGGACGCACTCCCACTCGGGAGTGACAGCGGAGACACCGTGCCCCACAGGGCGTCCGGGCGGGTGAGGCACTGTGTGAAACCCCGAGGACCTAGACAGAAGGGGACCCGGGGGGCTGTCCCACGTGTCCCTGGGGCCGGACACGCCTTCCCGGTGCCCTCGGAGGCCTCACAAGAGAAGACAAACGCATTTGCACACGCAAAAACTCCAGACCTCGGAACGACAAAGACCACGAACAAGGTTGAAAAGCAAACAGCCACCCAGAAGAATCATCTGCAACCCACGGCAGATGGCTAACTGGCTTTAAGTCAGGGAGAAGCAAATACTCCAACAGAAAAGCAGGCAAAGGAAAGAAACACGCAGTTAAAAAAGGGCAACAGCGTTCACTTCAGTTACGACTTATGAAATGTGAGAAGACAACAAACACGTTTCTTCTCTGAGACGCGTCTCGCCGGTGTCAGGTGTCTGACAGTGCCTGGGTGGCGGGAAGGGAGGGGCCAGATCGTCTCACGACGCTGATGAGAACTACCCCTGCTGAGCGCGACCTGGCCCGCTGCCTGACAATGCCTCCCCGCGGGCGCCCCCCGCAGCGGTGCTCACAGGCGCAGCCGAGACGCCCGCACGCGGCTGCCCTCTGCCCGGCAGCCTCCCGCCCGAGAGACAGGGAAACTCGGCACACGGTCCCACGTGCACAGGGCTCGCAGCAGCAGGACTCACGGGGGCTGGAGCGGACGCCCCCCCCCCGGCGCCCCCCACTGAGGCGTGGCCCGCCCCCAAGGCGCAGCCCCACTGAGCAGTGGGGAGAGCAGCGCTGGTGCCCGCCCCCCGCCCACCTGCAGGGCCCGGGGCAGCAGATCAGACCTATCGAGGCAGAAGGCGGACGAGTGCTGGCCTCGGGGTGGTTGGGGGGTGGGGGTGGCGGGACACGGGGAGTGACTGCTCTGGGGCCCAGGGTTTCTTTGGGGAAGTGATAAGAAGGTTTTAAGAGCAGATTACGGTAGGCAGTACTCAGCAAATACACTGGCACCCACCGAACTGCACACTTGAACCGGGAGATTTCTGTAGCATTTGAACGGCATCTCAAAAAGCCGTTAAACCTCCACAGGCAGCCTGTCGCTGAAATGCGCGTGCTGGGGTCTGACGTGGGCGGCACAGGCCAGCGGGACAGGGCGAGACCACCGAGCGGTGCGCCCGCCAGCCAGCCGGCAGCAGAGACGCAGGGCAGAAGCCAGGTGTCAGGGTGGACCCCCCCGCCCTGGGCCCCCCCAGAGACCATGAGGCCCCGGAGCCTGGAGCCCGTGCACACTGGGAGGGGCCTCCCACACCACCAGAACCAGCGTCAGCTGGTGGGCTTTCTTGGGGAGACGCCTGTTAAGTCTCGTCGGATTTCCAGAAGAGCGGGGAGCCAGAGAAAGGCCCAGGCCACTGCCACCCGGAGCTGACACGTTTTGTCACTACCTGAGAAGGACGGACACGGAAGGGCTCACCAGAGTCCCCGAGTCCACCGGGCCCGGGCGCCTGGGACCCCTCAGAGTGCACCCTCCCAGGCCGTGAGGGCGCGGGCTCCTCACGCTCCCACTGCCGCATCTCCAGAAGCTTGTTCGCGTCTTCCGGCTACACCCCCCTCCCAAGGGAACCTGTGACACACGAACACAGCGGGCCAGAGCCCAAGTCCCCCCCCAGGCCCCCCGTGGAATGGCGGCGCACGCCGACCCAGGCCGGGGGGCCGAGGGCGGTGCCATCGGCTGAGAGCAGGGAGACGAGGCCGCGTGTCAGTGGTCGCCGAGGGCGGCGGCAGCTCCGGGGCCCCGGTGCCTGGGAGCACGCGGGCTGCCAGGGGCCCGGGGCTCTAGGGAGGCGCGTGCTGAGAGCCCGACCTCCGAGTCCCCCCCGCACGGCGGCTCCTACACACCTCACCGGAGCCCAGTCCCTCCGGAGCCCGGCCGGTCCTGAGAACAGCACCGGAAAGCGTCTCAAACCCGGCGAGGGCAATGGCGGCCTGCAGAGGCGACGCTGGCTCGTTCCTCGGCCAGAGGACCGGTGTGTCTGTGGGGCGTGTCCCCCAGGAGGCACCCTCTGGTCGCCTCTGCTGAGGCAAGGACTGTCTGCGTGCGTCTGGCGTCAGAGCCGCGTGCTCCGTGAGGCGTGTCCTCCCAGCGCAGAGACGGGCAGAATGCAAGGACGCGTGGGCAGAACCCGACAAAACCACCCTTTCCTTTCAAACGCAGACATTTCTCGATCGGAAAACCCGCACCCTTCCTCTGTGCTGCCGTGCAGGGCAGGGTCCACTGCGGCGGTGTTTCGGGGGAGGGGGGCACGGGTCTGCACACAGAAGGCCACGCAGAGGAGGATGCACGGGCACCCGGAGCCAACCGGACCCCGGGCAGAGCCAACCGGAGTTCTCGCAATGTCTCCTTCAAGCCTGAAGTTACAATACAGACAGCAAACAAAGACCCAAACAAGCAAGCAAACAAAAACCACACCAAACCCCCAAACAACTTCCCCTGCTGCTGGGCAAAGGGTTTCTCCTCTCAACACAGAGACGGGGAGCAGGCGGCCAGCAGCCTCGCTGTCCCCAAGCCTGGCCCCGGCCCCTCCCCTCTGTGGCAGCAAGGGGACCGAGGACCGAGGACCGAGGACCGAGTTCAGGACGCTGGCCTGGCCGAGAGTTACGGAGCACAAGCCGACGCTGAGCCTGCGCTACGTTCCGAGGCATCTGGTACTACTCTCTGCTCTGGGTCTGCCTGCAGAAAAGTGCCCGAAAACAAGCCTGACTCTGCAGCTGATCTGTTTTCTAAGAGAAGTTCGTTCTAAGAGATTCTAAGAGAATCTCTAGCTCAAAAAAAGTATGTGAGAGAGGAAAGATGGATGAAGTCCTAGGACCAAAAGAACTTAATGGCTTTGATTTAAAGCATTAACTCTCAAAAACTCCTATGTTCATTCTATCATCTACTTTTTAAAAAAGACTTTATTTATTTATTTTTAGAGAGCCGGGAGAGAGAGGGAGAGAAACATCAATGTGTGGTTGCCTCTCATGCGCCCCCTACTGGGGACCTGGCCTGCCACCCAGGCATGTGCCCTGACTGGGAGTCGAACCTGCACCCCTTTGTTTTGCAGGCCAGCACTCAATCCACTGAGCCACACAAGCCAGGGTGACCACTACCTATTTCTTAAGGGTCAAAGTGCACTGAGACGACCAAAGAAATCACCATGCTGGTCGGTAAATACCCACTCCTTTGACAACACATTTTGCTCCATCAAAAGTTTCTGCAAAACCACCATACAGATTTTAAAATAAAGTAAATAAAAAATCAAATCAAATCAAATATAAATAAAATTTGTTTCCTGCAAAACAAGGTGCCAAAAACCAGGAACCAAATTTCAAGGACACAGACTGGTCGTGAAACCGATCCCATGGAGGAAGAGTGAAGACCAGGTGAGCGGACACCCTTTCTCAGCACTGGGTCTCCAAGTGGGGAGGCAGTTCTGTGGGTCTGAAAACAGACGACTAGTCACCGCAGCAACAAGTTGGTGGCACAACTCAGACCCTCATTTGGACTGGATTCAGCATGCGCTTCGGTCACGTAAAGGCCGGATGGAACCCTCTTCTGAGACGGGGGCACCCTTCTCTGGGACGCCCCTGCAGGGAGCAGTCCTGCGTGGGGTCCGGAGAAGGCAGCCAGCTGGGGAGTCCCCGAAGCACGGACACCCACGGAGACGAGCGAGCACACTCGTGCACAGCTCTTTCGCCACCCAGGCCACACCTTGCGGCCACGGGTCAGCACGAGGGCTTTTTCAGGAGACCTAGTAGTGAGCACAGGCGGCCAGTCCGCGGACGGGAGAACAAGGTCGGGGGCAGCCGGCAGGAACCAGGGGGCAGACCCTGGCGGGGAGGACTCTGCCTCCCCGCCGTCTCCCTCGACAGGGCTGGGTGCTCACCTCCGGGGGCAGTGACAAGGAAGGGGAGGGCCAGACACACTCTGCCGATGGAGGTGGAGGGGCACCGGAGGGCTCCCCTGGGAGGAGGCCGGGCCTGTGAGCAAGGCTGGGCAGTCTCTGCCCTCCGGGTGGGCCACGAGGCCTCCATGGTTGCAAGCGACTGGCACAAAGAACCGACCCCCCGCCCCCACCCCGGTGTCTTCATCGCATGTGACGGGGTGGTATGTGGGTTTGCTGGCCTTTGCGTCCCTCGCCTCACCTCACACAGAAACACCCGCTTGGGCTCTGCCTCGCTCCAGCTGAGCGTGTCCCGAGGGGAGAGCTCTGTCGCTGCCACCACCCCACCCACAAGGCAGGGCCGGCACACAGCGGTCCTCAGTGGACGTGCACAGAGCGACTAAGCCAAGAACGTACACGAGATGCCCGGGCACTGGACATGTGCCGTGCGTGTGGGAAGCGTGCGAGCTCCCCACGGGCTCACCGGGGCCACGGGTCTGTGCCCGAGTCCGCAGGTGCTGCTGCGCACACGCGGGCCTGCAGGAGCAGCAGCGAGTCACACGGCGGCTAGCGAGGAGTCAGAGCTCACGGCCCCTGCAGCTCCACGCCGCCTCTGACGTGTCTGCTGCGCGAGCACCAGAACGCAAAAAACTGAAGGAGAGAAACCACCCCTATGGGGGCTGCACAACTTTCCATTTTCTGGGAGTCCCATATGACAGAAACCTGAAAGGTCTACATGGCACTGAAAATGGGTAGAGATAACAGAATGAAACATATAGTATGATGCCTAGCCTTGCATCGGAAAAACCACCCACAACTGTTTCTCTATGTACATTGACAAGTATGCAGATTAACAGAAAAGATCTGGGGACATGCACAAATTGTTCCTGCTGCCACTCTGCGGTGGGCTGCGGCGGAGCAGGAGAACTGGCCGGGGCACCTGGATTTTAACCAGTGTCTGAATTTAAGAATGTGTATCAATTCAAGTTCAACTTGTCTGTTTTTTTTTTTTTTAGGAGGGGGAAAAAATAAAGCAAACACTTACTGCATTCATAGATCTGTTCCAGCTTATCCACAGAAGAAAGGGAGAAAAATTTATAACCGGACTTACTACCAACAGCTAGGGACCTGCAAAAAAGCCAAATTCAGAAATAAGAGCTGATACGTGTAGACAGTGGTAATGCACAAACTAGCGCAAAGAGTAACCATCATCTCTACCAGAGATTAGCATACAATGTCCCGGGGGAGTGGTGGCCGAGCAGAGAAGAGGAAGGTGGTAGAGGAAGACGACACGCCCCACAGCCAGGAAAAGGTGAAGGTCAATAAAAGAGATAGACAACACTCTTATTTAAAACTTAAAATTTTAAAGGCATATTTGACATATAATAAATAGTCACCCCAAGTTAATTGTCCCCTCAAACGAGTGGGGCTTCTCGGGCGACCCGACGCGCACGCCCAGGCAGGGGGAGCCCAGGCAGGGGGAGCCCAGGCAGGGAGATGAGGCTCCGGCTGAGCAGAGCCTCACAGCCCGGGCGCAGGCCGGCAGCTCCGCGTCTCCGTCCGTCCGGCCGGCCGCAGCTCACGCAGCCCAGCCCTCTCTGTGCGGCTGAGCCTCGGGCCAGAAGTAAGACGGGCCGCAGCGCTAGCTGAGGGTCCTGAGGGTCCGGAGTCGGAGACCTCGCGGCCGGCCGGCCAGCCCAGAGGGAGGAGCACGGGCTCCGGCCGCAGAGCCTCGCCAGGAGGGTCCGCACCCGCCCCCCCACACCAACACCATGCTTCTGCCAAGGGGCTCGGAGGGGCCGCGGCGCTCCCCAGGCCCCTCCCCAGCAGAGCTGTGGCAGTGAACCAAGCGTCTCATTGGATCACTGCGCTCCGGAGCGAGACTGGCCAAGGGAAGTAAGAAGGGAAGGCCAGCCTTCGGAAGCAGAGGAGGACCAGCGAGTGCAGCTCATGCAAAGGGTCAGACCCTGGGGTCGTGTGTGCATCTAGGGCCTGGGAGCACGTGAGACAGGAGGAGGCAGGGGGTGAATCGGAGATGGAAACGACGAAGACTGGCATTTCATCCGTCAGAACACCAAGATTCCCAGCCTCTCCTTCACACACACACACAGAAGAAACAGACAGTTGACCCTGAACAACGGGGGGTCGGGGCGCCATCCCTGCACGGGCAAAAACCTGTGTGTATTCTTGACTCCCCCAAACTCAGCTGCCCCCCAGTACGGGGGGATGGAGGAGACCCGTCCCAGGCCCCGTACAGGCACCACAACCCACGGTGCTCAGGCCCCTCACATACGATGGTGCAGCCGGAGCCCAGGGACACGGGGGGCGGCTGGGTGTTTCCTGTGCTGGAAAACCTCCACATGTGAGTGGGCCACGCGGCTCAAGTGTGTGCGGTTCAAGGGTCAACTGTGTTTCAAGAACAGAGCCACTATAAAAAGCCTTAAATTTTTAAATTGCAATTGGTTTATCTTATAAATATCAATACAACTTTCTACAAGCTTTTATCACTTTTCTTTGCAAGAAAATACTTCACTATACTGAATTATGTCAACGAAGTCTGTTACCTGTAAATGTTTTGAAAAGTAATAAAGGAGCCAACAAAATACAAGAATAACCAAGAAGACTGAAAATAAAACAGAATCCCAGCCCTCCACAACTTTTGGGAAACCGGTATTCAGGGAAACGCTTTGCAGCTAACTAACGGCTACTGCTCTCAGCACCAGGACCTCCCCCACCATTTCTGGGTTGGAAGAAAGCCGTTCTTACGTTACCTGTTTTCCTGTGCTCCTAACGCACGGGGCCGCACAGCCCTGGCCTTCCCGCAGACCCCATGTGACACCCGCGCCACACGGTCGTGGCCCACGGCCCCCTCAGGCCGCAGTGCGGCGTCCAGGGCCTGCGTGCCCACACCAGATGGCGCCCTGCAGCACCGAGTTCGTAAGGACATCTTCTACCTTTTGTCGACAGCCGTTGCTTTTCCCGGGACCCCGCCGCCACGAACAGCCCTCCTTCCCCCGATTGCTCGCTGGCTTAGAAACCCAATCACGGGCTTATTGGTCTTGTACCCGAAATAAGTCTCTTCCGTGGGCCATCCAATGAGCTTCAACTGACAGGAACCTCGATCCTGATACATCCAGGCTCTCAGACGGGCCCCAACAGGCAGCATGTGTTAAAGCTGGGCCCTCCGATCAAACACCGGAGCTCTGGCCCCTCCCAGATGTCGGGGACCGATGCGGGGTGCGGCACACCTCAGGGGAACGCTCGCTGCGTGGTTTACCGGACAACTGCGCGCCCCGATTGGTGAGACACGCGCACAGAGACAGCCCGGCCATTCCTCGGCAGGCACGTGAGGCCCAGTAACGTATCATCGACAGAGGGAGACGGTTTTAAAGGGTGATGACATTGCATGTAAATAGGTGCGGTGTTTTTCAGCTCAAACACCGATCATTAGGTTCGCGCCCCCACTGGGAGGTTCTGCTTTTAGTAATTAGTCCCTCAGGATCCACCTGACCCTACAGCGGCACACGGAGGGGAGAGGCACAGTAACAGGAAAGTGTGCAGGTCCCCCAGAAGCAGTCTTGCTCCCTGATAAATGTTCGTGTGGCGTTTTTAAGATGATATGACGAACATCTTTTACTGCCAAAGGGAGAGAGCAGCACGCTCCAGCAGATGAAAGGGTCCGGTCCCCTCACCCCTCACGTCGCTACTGTACTCCTGCCTTCCACGGGGTCTGGGGCCGGGGCCCGGGGCCCTGCTGTGCCCTGAGACAGGCCGAGCGAGCCAGGACAGAGTGACTGCTTCTAAGGCCCTGTCTGAGCCCCCGCCCCCGCTTCCCTCCACTGCACCCTACACCTCCTGGGGGCGCTGTGGGGCCGACGAGGCCAGTTCTCTGCTTCCCTCACTAGTGACTTGCGCCCACTTTCCAGCTCCCAAAACTTTGTTGCGGTGCCTGCTTCCCCACTCTCCCCCTCCCACGGGGGTCAAGTCTTTCGGAGCGTCCTTCTGACAGCGCATCGCACCGGCGCTTTGGAAGAGAGACCGGATGAGTGCCTGGGTCCGGTCCCCCGCACCGGCAGGCCTCTGTCCCCGCACTTAACCCCTTCTCCGCTCCGCCCGCCCCCAACAAGCGGTCTGAGCCGGCTTTCCCGTCGTTTCTTCTTCGTGCAGAGGTGAGTGGTTTTAGGGTTCAGCGAGACGGCCCACACCCACAGAGAGGAGTCCGGCCGGCCGGTGGGCCCCACAGCCCCCACTGCACATGGCCGCCCCCATACCGGCCCTTCTCGCCCGCCAGCCCCGCGACCCGCCCTCTGCGGGACTTCGGGGCTGAACTCGTCCTGTCCTCCAAAACCTCGCCCTCCTCTGGTCCTCCTCCCGTGATGCTGCTCACCGCTGTCCCCCAGGACCCACGCCGGAGACTGGGGGGGTCACACCAAGTCCTGACGGCTAACCGGTCCCCTTTCCACTGGCCACTGCTGCTGGACAACGGCCTCCTCAGTGAGCGCCCGGCCCTCCTCAAATGCGCCCTCTGCATCTTCAAGGGCGAGGGGTCCTTAAGAACCGCCCACTTCTAAGTCTCCCAGTTCGCTGGCGAGGAAAAGGAGGACGGAGTACCTACCCAGAATGCTAACTGCAACCTCGGAGAAACTGGGCTGAAGAAGGTCCCACATCCAGACACGTGTCTGCTTCTCGTCTCCACGCCCGTAACTTTTCTGGACACTCGCAACACTAGCCCCACAAACGAAGGACTTGGAAAATGGAATTCTTCCTCCAGCCCGCCCCTTCCAGTACTGCAGCTCCACACAGACCCTGCCAGTCACTTCCACAGACGACTGGTGTCCCCCGGAAGAAGTCAGTCCCTGACGTTCCCATCGGAGGTTCACGGGATGCCCTGCCGCTGAAACCCCCCCGCCACTCGAGCCTCCGAGGTGTTCCTCCTGGAAGCCGGGGCCGAGCAGGCAGAAGCCAGCCGGCGGGACGAGCTGCTCCTCATGGCCCTGTCACGGGCCCGGTGAGAGAGCAGAGCGGAGCGAACCCAGAAACAGATGGCGAAAGACAAACAGGCCGTGTTTACACTTGGAGGACAGCACTGTGGGAAAGGCACCGCGGCTCGGGGACCCAGTGCGGGGAGGGAGGCAGGCGCAGCGGAACGGCCCCCAGGCCGGCTGGCGAGACGTTGGCGGGGGGCGGGGGGGGGGCGCGCGCCTAGACCGGGCTCCCCCCATCTCACAGAGACTCCCACTCCCCAGTGAGAGTGAGTTCTGCAGACGGGCACGGGAGGGAGCGGTGCAGACCTGCTCCCCAGGGAGCCCAGTTTCTTTGGAGCTAGATTCGAAACCAGTCACCGCTGTTCCAGTCAATACACGCCTGCAAGTCCTAACCTGCTGTTCCTCACGACTTATGTTCGCGCCACATCAAGGCCTCTGTGGCAAGTTAAAGTGATAAAACAGAAATCTCCTCTTGAACCGGGAACTTCAGGACTCCCAGAGGGGCAAGGAAGTTCATGATCTCTGATTGTGAAAAGGCCTTTTTTCAGGGCAGAGTGACATTCCTCTGTGATATGGGAATTAAAAAAAGATGATTGATTTTTTGAGAGAGGGAGGAAGTGGAGGCGAGAGAGACATCGATTAGTTGTCCCACTTATTTATGCCTCCACCGGTCGGCTCTTACATGGACCCTGATGGGGAACCGAACCTGCGACCCTGGCATGTCAGGACGACACTCCGAGGAGCCAAGCGCCTGGCCAGGACGTGCTGCGCAGGGAACTTGGTGCCCAACGGAAACAACAACAGAGAGAATGCTCGGTCACACTTCACTTCCTTTCAGCGTCAATGATGGGGAGTGAAACCTGGCAGAACGATAGGAAATGTTTTGGAAATCTCTAATGTACACGGGACATAAACCCATCAAGCTACCACTGCTTAGGGTCTCAAAACATTAAGGGCTTAAAGCCAAGTCACAGCTGGTCTGTGCGGCCCCACTCCCCACACTGAGTAACATACAACCCATCCCAGGGATCACCACCCGAGACAGGCTGTGCAAAGCATTTTTTGTTTTTTTTTTTGGGGGGTGGGGGTGGGGGTTGGTGGTACTGGCTTTGCTCACGCAGACCACTATGGTGATTGGTTGACTTCACCTTTAAAGACTGTGGCAGTCTGACTTCCGAGTTCACCCCCCTGGAAACCCTGCCCTGCAGGTGGAGGAATTGGCGCCGCCGAGGGAAAACGACGAGAATCCAGGCAACGGACGCCGGCCCCGCTCCCACCGCTGGGCTCAGCAGCCCTGAGACCCGGGAACCTGTCCGGAGGTGGGCTCCCTCACCTGGGGGTGGAGCGGGTCGCCTGCTCCCTCCCGGCCCTCAACACGGCCCCCCGAGGGGCTGTCTGCAGAAGGTGCCACTGCGCCCTGCTGCATGCCACCCACCCGGGGCTGGCCTGCCTACAATCAAGTTTGTTGTTCCTGTTCATTTAACTTACTTTTCAAATTACATTTCGGGGGCAACACTGGTTACTAGGGTCGTACAGGTTTCGACTGCACACACTTCCGCGACACACAAGCCTGCGTATTGCACCGCGTGCCCACCACCCAAAGTCAAGCCGTCCTCCGTCACCTAACACTTGGCCTACCATCCAGTTTTAATTTTAAAAAGTTCTCATTTTCTCCTTTGCCAGTTACACTCAACCAGCAGCCACTCAACCAACTGCACTGCCAGCCGGGGACCCACTCCCCTCCTTGCATCACTTCCTCTTACTCACTTCCCAAGACGGCCCTCCTGCCTTCCAGCCCCACAACTCACCCTTCCTGCTCCCCCGGCCTCATCGCGGAACTATCCTCGCAGGCCACCCAGACGCCTCCCAGCCACAAGCTTCAGACCCACGTGGGTTTGGGCAAGGGCGTTCCCAACCCACGCGCTGGCCCCAGCGAGGGTCTCTGGTCCCCTAGGGACGGCCCGGCCCGGCCCGGCCCACTCCCCGAGGGGCCCAGACTCCGCAGGTAATTCTGTCACCAAACCGCCCCCACCCCCGCCCCTCCGCCGGCTGTTTCTCCCCGGGTCGCAGGCTAAGATTACTGCTAAGTTTATTTCTCGTTGGGGGAGAACATCAAAGTTTCCTGCCGAAAAGAACAGCGAGACAAGAGGGAAAGGAAAGAGAAGAAAAGCGGGGAAAGGGACCCCGGGATGAGGAGGAGACCAGGAACGGGCCCGAAGAGGGGACGACTGGGGCAGAACGGGGCGGGCGGGGCGCGAGGAGGGAACCCACTCCCACCGCGGGCGGAGGCGGCCAGGCAACAGGTCAGGCCCCGGAGCGCGGCCCAACTTTGTGAGAAAAGGGGGTCCAGACAGCGAAAGCCTTCCAGCCCGCGGGCGAACACCCCCTCGGCCCCCTCGCCCGTCGCTTTTCCCGGCCCAGAGCTCGCCGCTCCGGGGCAGAGCCCGGAGGGGCCCCGAGGAGGGCGCCCCGCCGCTGCGCCCCGGGCCCACGGCAGGGCCGCGCCCGCCTGCCCCGGCCCCCCGCCCCAGCCCCCGGCCCCAGCCGCGCCCCCGCCCGCACTGGCTCCCGGCCCCCGACCCCCGACCCCGGCCCCGGCCTTACGTGACGTCCTGGTTGAAGTTGGCGAAGAGCAGCTGGCCGGCGCCGGCCTCTCCGCTCTGACTGGCCAGGTTCATGGCGGGCGCGCGGCGGGCGGGTGGGCCCGGCCGGGGACTCGCGCGCGGGACGGGGGTCGCGTGCGCTCAGGGTCGGCGCCGGGCCCCGCTCGCCGCCTGGGTCGCCGCAGCTCGCTGCCCGGGGATCAATCGCCGCCTCATCCCGTCCCCGCTCTTGTTTATGCTCCGGAGCCGGGGCGCCCTGCGCGCCTGCGCGTCCCGCCCCTCTGCCGCACGGACCTCTCAGGGCGCAGGCGTGCTGCGGAGGTCCCGCCTTTTCACTTCCGTCCCGGGCCGGAGTTCCGGTCGAACACGCGCAAGCGTGGGGACGCGCGGGGGGCGCGCTGGACAGGGCTTGTGGGCGCGTCGAGCGCCGCGCAAGCGCACGGGACGGAGCAGGCGTCGGTGCACTGCCATCACTTTAACTGTATTAAAAGACCTGCCGTATGCCAGTCTTGGCGCTAAACACGTAGGCGTTTATCTTACTTGATGTCGTATCAGCCCTACGTGGAGACTATGGCATTCCCGTGTCACGGAGTTGAGAACTGAGGCTGAGACATACTAACCCGTTCGCCGGGTGTTAGATCCGAGAACGGGCGTTTCTCCAGGGTCCAGGCTTTCTGCGTCGCTAGGAGAGGGCTCCGCCTCACATGCATTCATTCGTTCGATAATATTTAGGAAGCGCCTTCTTTCCCTCGGAGAGCGTACAGAGTGTGTGTGTGTGTGTGTGTGTGTGTGTGTACTTAAACACAACTACTAAGCGGTGTACAGTAAGAGCACATAATGAAGTCGCTTATCCCGGACTTAAGGGGCAGGGACTGTGCAGGCAGAAGGATATGCGTGGTCAGATGTAAACGTATAAATGCACATAGGCAAGTGGCCAGGTAGCCAACCACTGAACTCAAGATACAGGGCAGGGGCCATGTCTTAGTGGTTCTGTCGTTAACCAGTTGATGCAGGATTTTTTTTTTTAAGACTTTATTATTCTGCTTACTTGTAGAGAGAGGGGAAGGGGCGGGGAGAAAGAGAGGGAGAGACACATGAGTGTGAGAGAGAAACATCAGCTGGCTGTCTCTCACATGCCCCCAAGCAGGGACCTGGCCTGCAACCCAGGTGTGTGCCCTGACCGGGAATTGAACCCATGACCTTTCGGTTCGCAGGCGGACACTCAATCCACTGAGCCACACCAGCCAGGGCAGCACATTTTCTATGGACTGTTATTATGGAGCAAAGACACATAAAGCAGTGCCCGACTGAATCCCCTGGGTTCTAAACACACTCCTTGACTTTATTTTGAAAAGCCACCCAATTTCCTCTGGTTCATCTGAATGGATTACTCCATCTAGGTTAGTAACTCCTTCTCACTCCAAGGGTTCAACAAATGAAAGCTCAAAATAGCCCCAGGGTAGACTGAGTTTCAAGGCACCGGAACTATGACTCTGTTCCTTGGGAACTCTTCGGGTGCTAGAGTCTCAGCTACGGTTATGTGGATGGAAAGACATTTCTTAAGTGGACTGTCGGATGTAACACTGCCGTTCCCAGTTGGCAGGCGTGCACTGCCTGTGTTACAGAAAGGCGCCCCGACCTCCCAGGCTGTGGTGTCTCAGCTGATGCCCTAACTGAGTCTTCGGTAGGCTATTCTACTGCCCATCTGAGTAACAGGGCGCGTGATTAGGAGGTGAATTCCAAGGGCATGAACCTGTTGTCAGGCTTCCCTCACCTTCACGTACATTTCTGGGTTAGAAGAGAATTGGCAGGGACATCTGATAACCCCGTTAAAAATGGTAACCACCATGCTCTCTCGATTTCCTATCCCTTTCCCTGCTTTATTGTCTATATAGCTCTTGTCACACCTTCCAATAGCCCATGGAATGTCCCCTTCCAACTAGAACACAAGCTCCACGAAGGGAGGCTTTGGTCTGTGTTGCTCACTCTGTGTTCCCATTACCTGGGATAACGGGAACTTGGTGCCCAAAGCCTTGAACTCTGGGCCTCCGTTTGTGGTGGCTGCCAAGGGCCGGAGCTGAGGGCTTCTGCCCACCCACTTTTGTCTCCCTGCTCTATTATCTCAGTTTTATCGGGAACCACAGACAACGTTGTCGGAGAGGATGCTGGATGTGTGCCAGGGAGCTTGACGTGTGTGTGACTCAGTCGGGCGCCCTGTGTCCCAGTTCACCGTGAGGACATTCCTGGTGGCATGCGGTGCGGAAGAATGCTCGGGAGTTTCTGTCATCGCTTCAGAATTGCTCCAGGTGACAGGCCTGAGGCGAGTCCCAGGCAAGAGCTTCCCCTCCTCCTTTTCACGCTGGAGCAGAGCCATTGTCGGTACGCACTTAAGACATTCCTCGGATATTCTTCCTCTGTGCGGCATCCAGAGAGGAGCGACCCTCCCACGGGCACATTCCTAAAGACACGAGGAGGGACCCAAGGGCTGCAGCGAAGGGGTGGTGGGGTGCACGGTGCCGGAGGTGAGGCACGAGGAGAGAGGTCAGGGGTCAGGGCACGGCCAACCCCGAAGTCAGATTCTCACCAGGTAGGTGTCCGTCGGCAGGTCACCCAGGCTCCCTGAGCATCCGCTTCCTCGGTGATAACAAGGACTGGAATAACCGATCTCATGAGAACGCAGTGAAGGTTGAATGGACGGGAGGAGGCACTTCCGGAACAGTGGGGCGAGAACCTCCCAAAAACACTCCTTCTTTCCACTGAACGAAGGTGCCCTGGGGGCGTTTCCGGGCCGCTGCAGATTGCACCTCGTTCTCCGCCAGCTGCACCGGGCCCCGCCGTCTCCCTCTCCCCCCACAACACAACCAGTGTTTCCCGGTGGATGGGCGTCCAGCACCCTTCCACTTGTGCACTGTCTCAGCGAACGTTGTACCTTCTCTCGTACTGTCGTATTTTTGACCCCCAGATTCCTTCCTTCTGTCCAGACCTCTCCCCTGACCTCCGAAACGTTGGAGCCAACTCTTCCCCCGACAGGGGGCTCCGCACGGCACTTTCACAGGCCCCTCTGACTCGAAAACCCGCAGCAGGTGCATGGTTTCCCCCGAACCTCGCCTTCCTCAGCCTTCGCCACCTCAGTCAGTGTCCCTCCCCGTCTCTCACGCCTGCGGGGCTGACCGAGACCACCCAGTGAGGACAGGCAGAGGCTCTCTGTCGGCCCCTGCTAGAGCGAGGGAGTGGCCCGCCCTCGCCTGCGCCTGGACAGACTCAGGCGGGGGAAGGGGAAGCTTCCTAGGGAGAGAAACAGGGCTTCAGGGGCCCCTGGCGGGAGGCAGGGGCCTGGCGAAGCTCCAGGTGGGTCAGCTGGAAGTGGGACCGGTTGGAGGTGGGACCTCACCACGTGGCCAGTTGGGGGGGGGCGTATTCGGCTCTCCCTGGACGGTCCTGAGCAGGGAGCAGCACAGCAACGCGGGAGGCTGCCAGGTATTGATCGAGTCCGACCTTTGGGGCCGGCGGCTACAGGAGCGCTTGTTTGGCGTGCTGGCCGGCTGCCGCAGGTCGTGGGTTCTGTCCTGACCCGTGGCCTGGCCATCGTCCGTTTGCATTTTCCTGTCTCCACACGCTCCGTGAACAGCGCAGGTTCTACTTCCAAAACACAGTGAGACACCAACCACTTCCGCCGCGCCACTCCCGTCGGTGCCCCGGGCACCCTCCTCTGTAATAATGTAGGGGAGGGACAAGGCTTCCCTCTGGCTCCCACAATTCCACTCTCGGCCCCTTCCAACCTCTGGGAAGCACCGCTCCCAGGAGGAACCCTCAAAGGCAATGGGATGTGGACACTCTGCCCACCGCACCTCCCGGCAAAACCCAAGGGCCATTCTGTGCAACCTCTGCCCACCTTTCCGACTCACCCGGGGCCGCCTCCCCTCCACCACCTGCTCCACTCCCTTGTTCTTCCAGCTCCCCCGCCCTCTCTCTTTCCCACATCAAAGACGCGTAGCATCTGCCCCTCCCCTTGCCTATGTTATGTTGCAGGTCTGGGCTGGGATGGAGCTCCTCGGATGCAAATGGGAAAACCTCCCTTCCCGCCCCTGTTGTGGACCCGTCGCCCTTCTCCACCGGGTCAGAGCCAACTCCCGATGGTCAACGATTTGTCAACGTGTGATGATTCCACTGCTGGCCACAAGAGGGCAGCAAGGCCCAGCACATTGGAACCAAGGGGACCCGCCCAGCCGCATCCTGAGCTTTAGGCTCCCATCTTGGGGAGCCTGGGATCAGGGATGTCCAGGAACCGGCTGGTAGGGAAGTGGGCAGACCCGGCCAGGCCGGGCAGGGGGCTGGCCTTGTCAGAGAGGCCCTAGCAGAGAGGGGCTTGTCGTCAGAGCTGGTGGAGTGTGATTACCCGGTTGTTCTTATTTTGGCACTGTTACAGTTGAACTTCACAACCTTCTGGGCTGGAGTACTTTCCATTTTAGAAGTAAGAAATGAGGCCAAGAGAGCGTGAGCGGTTGGAGATCACACGCCGGTTAGAGGCGGGGCCGGGCCTGGGCTCCTGTGCCCCCCGAGTCGGCAGAAATTCAGCACCATTTGCTCCGACGTCATAAGTGATGAGCACAGCTTATCAGTGCCTGTCTAGGTAAACTTCACATTCTGTGTTTCTTACGCGTTCGGGACAAAGGCAAAAGTTTCGGTATCTACTTACTGCATCACACTGGTTTGTGATGAACACTGTTTTTGCCTTTGTCTCATGCGAAATTTGAAATGCGGACCTGGAGGGTTCTCCCCAGGTGGGCACGTCGCCTCATCCCCTGCCGACTGTCCTGTGGCCACTCTGGCTCTCACCGATGCCGTCTGCCTGGGGTTCCTCCCTTCGCTCCTGTTTTGTTTGCTCGTTCCGTCCTGTCTGGCCCTCAGCCCCGAGGTCGGTGGGGAGTCTGGATTTGAATCTGGCTGCATCCTCTAAGGTTGCTCCCGCCCCAGGTCCTCTTAGGAAAGGAGACTGTTTTGATCTGAAGGAGGTGACACCAGTCTCTCCTCCGACAGGGCTGGACGGGGACCCCCAGGGCTGAGATGAGACGTGTCTGGAAGACAAGAACCGAAAGCCCCAGGATCTGGCCCCGTACCCCTCATCCGGTTTGCCTCCTGTTCTCACCTCTGCCACCTTAGCCAAGGCAGGAGGGGGGCAGAGGGGAGAAGGGCCTTCTGTGTGGAGGAGGGGGGAGGCTGGGAAGAGAGGAAAGGGGGTCCAGGGAGAGGCTGCGGGGAGCTCAGAGCAGTTAAGGTCCCAATCGTCGGGAATGAGGGGTGCCCTTCCAGGCTGTTGACCCCCCAGAGGACCGCCGTGCCCACCCTGAGCCCTGTTCCTGTAGCTGAACCGCTGACGGATGGGTGGGGACGTCGAGGCCCAACTCACTCGCCCCTGGAGGAACCTCTGAGGGGTCTCCCCAGCTTCAGAACTCCCCCCCTCCGATGTGCTGAGGCTGCTGTCCAGAACCCAGCAGCCCAGCCTCTGCCGCTGCTTGTCCCTGCCCCCACCCCCTGCCTCTGCTGTGACAGCCCCTCAATACGTGTCCTCACGCTAATCTCACCTCAGAGCCTGCGTCCCAGGACCCCAGCCTGTGACAAGGGACGAGCTTGATCCTGGGGAATGCTTCTTTCCTCCCAGAAAGACCTGAAGCTGGCTGGGGAGGGTGGGGCCTGGGAGGAGGAAGGGTCCCCCACGGCTTCCCTGGCTGAGCAGGGCCTGGACGAGGCCTGTTCCTTCAGGTCCAGAGCCCAGCACACAGTAGGCTGAACAAGAATGGGGGACGGGGCCCTGGCTGGTGTGGCTCAGTGGATTGAGCACAGGCTGCGAACCAGAGGGTCGCTGGTTCAATTACCTGTCAGGGCACATGCCTGGGTTGCAGGCTGGTCCCCAGTGGGGGCCACGTGAGAGGCAACCACACATTGATGTTTCCCTCCCTTCCTTTCTCCCTCCCTTCCCCTCTGTCTAAAAATAAATAAACAAAATCTTAAAAAAGAAAGGAGGACTGGAGTCCAGCTGTTGGTGACGATAGGGGACAGAGGTGGGACTAACGCTGCAGCCGTCACGCACACACGCATGTGACACGGACTCTGACATGGCTATGCCATACGATCTGAGATGCATATAAACCACTTCTATAGCTACACACACGTGCACGTGTAGATGAGATCTGAGCGTAGGTTACAGACTCGGGCGTTCTTTGAAGGCGCTGCAGAGTGACAGGAGCGAACAGGAAAGGAAAGGAGTCTCCAAAGACAGTGACGTTTACAAGTTCGCGGCCCCGTGCCTGCGGGCCCTCTCCAGGTCGTGCACCCGCTCCGGTTGGGCGCGTTAGAGGTCAGAGTGCGGGGCTGACAGAAGAGCCAGAACGTTTTCCGGGGAGTGACGACTACGGGAGGAAACGAGCCACAGAGGGGGACGTCCTGCCAACACACCCAAACCCAACCCCCTTCCGAGAAGCACCCCAACACTCCGTCTCCACGCTGTGCCGCTTACAATGCCAGCACCCAATAGGAAAGTCACCAGACTTGCACAGAAATGGGAAAGTGCGGCCTGTTACAAGAAGAAAATAATAATCAACAGAAATCGCACCACAGGGGCCCAGATGTTGCCGCCAGCAGACGAGGGCTGGAAGCAGGGGTTGCAGATGCGCCGAGAGCTGAGAGAAACGTACGCCGTGATGACGGAACAGAGAAGGAGCTCAGCGGAGACGCGGACGCACAACGAAGAACCGCACGGGAGCTCTGGAGCTGGAGCGCGTGGCTGAAACGGAGAAGGAACGGACGAGGAAAACACGCGCCATGAAATTAAAAACAGAAGGAGGAGCAGGAGGCATGGATTCATCCTGGTTTCACGCCCACGTGGCTGTTCGGAGGTGGGTGGGCCGGGAACCTTCACCCTCGTGACGGTGGATGCCGCGGCTTGCAGTGGCTGTGAACCTGGGCTCCTGCGTGTTAGCCCGTGCCCTTGAGGGAGTCCGCCAGCCTCGCCCAGCCTCGGTTCCCTCCCCTCCGGCGCTGGGTTCATTACACCGTCGAGTGTCTCCCTGGGCACCGAGAAGGACATCGCGACCCGGGGTTGAGAGGACCCTTCAAGACCCTTCAGTCGCCTGCAGAGTGCAGCCATGCATGCGCTGGGCCGCAGTGTCCGCCCCAAGCCCGCAGTGACACCGACCCGGGCCGCCCTCAAGGAGGAGGACAGACGGCAGCCTCCATGGGGGCGTGGAGGGAGCGGCCGAGTCCCCAGAAGTGGACGGGATGATGGAGGGTTCTCGACCGTCCACTCCGGCAGGCTCCGGGGAGGGGGTGGCTCTGTGGGATGCAAGTCACCGAGAGGGACGGGGGAGAGAGTTGGGTCAGAGGCTGCCCTGGGTCCCAGGGACACAGAGCGGCGGGGGGGGGGGGGGCCTCGTGGGGAGGAGGCTGCTGATGTGGTGTGGACAGGGCTCCGGGGATAGGGAGGGAACCCGGGGCCGCGGGGAGGGCCCCACCCCACCGTCCTGCTCCCACCCAGCCCCTCCACAGAGCCGGGGACCCTGCCAGGCTCCATCCCTGTCTGCTCAGGAGTGTGGGGGTGGGCGCAGGGCCGCACAGACCAGGGCTGGAGTGCCGGCCCAGCTGAGTCGCACGCAGGCCGGGCGCACCTCCGTCTCCTCGTCTGTGAATGAGGAACAGCGATGCCCCCCCATGCAGAGCCACAAAGGGGGTTCGAGGCGAAACACGCTCTCGGAGATGACGTCACGTCGGGCCCAGGCCACCTCTGCTCCTTCGGTCATCCTGCACTGTAGGCACCGTCAGCCCTGCTTTACGGGCGAGGACACCGAGGCCCGAGCATGACGCCACCCCTGGGCCTCGGGGACAGAGCTGGGCTGTGCTGGAGCCAGGCCTTGAGTCCTGGGAAGACCCCTTTAGAGCCTGCAGCCACTGTCCAGCCCGGTCTGGCCGGGCAGGTGACGCCGCTGCCACCTTGGGTGGGGTGGGGGGGCCAGAGGAGGAGCGCCACGAAGGAGGGAAGGCGACCAGCTGGGCTCTGGCCCCGGGATGGTGAGGGGCAGAGCTGCTGCCCTGCCCGTGAGCTGTCACTGTGGCGGGGGCACCCCCGGTGCCCTCTGGAGAGGACTGTCAGCCGCTCCCAGGAGTGGTGGGCGGGCTTCCGTGACAAGGCGGGGCGGAGCCTGAGACCCTACAGCGGGCAGGAGGCCGCCTGCACCGAAGGGAACCGTCCTCGGGGACCACCCACCGGGGCCGGAGGTTCAGCGGGGAGCAGAGGAGAGGACTTCTGGGCCTGGGGCAGACCAGGCGCACCCCCCTCGTGAAGGCCCCCTGGTGGGGGTGGGGGAGCCCGAGGCCCGCCCCCCGCTGCCCTGGCGCCGACCTGCCTCCTCCTGCACACACACACACAGACCCAACCCTGACTCCGGTGCGGGAGGGAGGCCCTCGGTCACCATAACAACTGGATGCTGGCAGTAAAAATAGCAACTTATTTCTTATTCAACTTCTTTTGCTCTGGGAGAAAAAAAAGTCCATTTCTAGGCTTCTGTTTCCTTTCGGGGGTCTCCTCTGGGCCCTGCCGTGCCGGGTCCACGGCCAAGACCTGCTTGAAGGTCGAGGGCAGGCCTGGACCCTGGGTGCCCGTGGACCCCCGGGAAGAGGGGCCACTGGAGGTCAGGGCTGGGGGGGCAAAGCCACTAGGGACGTTTTGGGGGATGGAGGTGGGGGGTGGAGGGGGTGGTGTGGCTGGCACCTGGGACAGACAGGGGTGTCCTGGCTCGGCTGGGGTGCGGGTGGAGGTCGGGGTGACCGTGAGGGAGGCCAGGTCAGGCAGGAGGCCGTGTGGGCAGGGCTGGCCTTACCTGCCTCCGGCTACCATCCGCTCCCGGAGGTCCCACAGACCGCTGCGGAGGGAGACCCGTGTTGGCCGTGAGCTCGGAGCACAGGAGCTGGGCTGCAGGGCCGGTGCTGGCCCTGGGGCTGTGTGACCTTGGGAGCCCTGGTCCCTCTCAGCCCCGCCTTCCCTCCTGCAGTGAGGGGACAGGAGGCACCGGTGGGCCTCGCCGCTCCTAACCCCGACGGCTCCCAGGAAGAAGCTCAGGCTCCGTCCAGACCGGGACACGGAGACACGCAAGCCACCGCAGCACGGCTCCCGAGCGTGCCCCTGGGCTCCGGGGGTCGCTGAGGTGCCGTCCCACAGAACTTCCTGTCACCAGGGAGACGGTCCCTGGCGGCAGCCACAGGCCACACGTGGCCGTCGGGAACTGGAAGCGTGGCCCGGGGGACCCAGGCACGGCACCGCGAGTGGTCTGTCGTTTTTCGCCGTGTGGAAGCCGCGCCAGGCGGGGGCCCCGGTGTCGGAGTCCCAGCTCCGGGAGGTCCAGGGGGACCCTGCCGCTCAGCCCTCCGGCCCCTCCTCACTGCGGGCCCTCCCGTCCTGCCCGCCCACGATGGGCCCTCGGCCTTCGACTCCTGCCCACCTGGACCTCACGCTCACCTGGCACCTTCCCTCCCGTCCCAGCTGTGCCTCCTGGAGCCTCCTCTCACTGCCCCCGCCCCCTGCACTTGGCCACCTGGCGGTGCCCACCCAGCAGGGTCAGGGGTCATCCCCGACTCCTCTGTCCCCTTCTAGCCTATTAACAGGGTCCCTGTAAACGTCCCTGGACCCCAGCTCTGGTCCCCACCTCCAGCCCTCGCTCCCCAGCCCCCCCCCCACTGCATCTACCTGCGGCCCCCTAGTCCACTCCCAGAACAGGTGTGCATGCCCAAGGGGGGAAGGGGGTTTCTGTCTGTCTCCACCTCGCTCCAGCACCTTGGGTGGAGGGCGTGGGTGGGATGGCTTTCTGAACGCAGGAGGACCTCAGATAAAGCGTTGTTACAAAAAGTAGCAGGGAGCCGGGGCTTGGGGAACAGAAGCGGGGGAGGGAGGGGGAGGAGGGGGAGGTCGGCGTGGGCAGGAAGGGCTCAACCTTTCATTCTGGGATCTGTCATCCCACGTTGAAGGCTGACCTGCCTCCAGCGGCCCCCAAGGGTGTCACCCCTTCCAGTAGGTGGCTTCCCATAGCCAGAGTCCCGGCCAAGGTCTCCTAAAGGAGAAAGCCGGATTTCACGGAAGGGGCAGAGGGCACGGGCAGGTCCTGGGTCCCCCGGGGTTCTGGGCAGCCCAAGGCGCGCGCTGGCATCTCGGGGTCCTGAGGGCCCCCAGAGCCACAGGTTCTGGTGGGGGCTCCCAGAAACTGCAGCCATTCGGGGTGGACCCTCTGGGGTCGCCGCGCCTCACAGGGGCCGGGCAGGCGGCGCCGGCGGTGGGAGCGCGCGAGCTGCAAGTCCACTCCGGGCTGGGCCGCACTGGGGCCGAGGTCAGGCGCGCAGGCGGTGTCCGCTGCCTTCCAGCCCAGGGCCCGTCGCCTTCTCGGTTTAAACATCTGCTGGCGGGCGGGCGGGCGGGCGGGAGGGCGACGGGGACACCGGGAGAGCAAGAAAGCGCAGCAGCCAAAAGATCCCCTTCCTCGCCCCCACGGCTCCCCTACGCCGGGGCGAGAGCTGGAGGGGTCCGCCCCGCCCAGGGAGGGCGCCCGGGCCGCGGGGACTAAGGCGATTGGCCCGGAGCCCCCCCCCCCCCGCCCCGCCCCGCCACCATCTGGTCGGGATTTGCGTCGCCGGCTCCTGGCACCCTCGCTGGGGCCCCGGCCCCGCGCCCCCCGCCGCCCCCGCCCCACACCCGCCTACCTGCTGCGCCCGCGCCCCGCGCCCGCCTGCCCCGCGGGCCGCCAAGTTCGCGTTCTCTGAGCCCGGGCCGGACGCCGATGGAACCGCCGCGATGTTGGCCCCCCGCCTCCTGGATTTCCAGAAAACCAAGTATGCGAGGTGAGCGGGGAGCGCGGGGCGCGGGGGGGGGGGGCGCGGCCCCGGCTCCGCTGCCGCCCGCGCCACCCAGAGCTCTCCGGTCGACAAGGGGACCCTAACCCGCCGCGAGAAGCCAGAAACCAGACACCGCGGTCTTTGTCAGCGTCTCCGCGCCCAGCTTTGCGCCCTGGACCCGGAGGGCGCGGGTTCCCAGCGCCCCTCTCTTAGCGGGGTGCCCTGGAGCGAGTGGCTTTACCGCTCCGCGCACCTCCGTTTCCAGGTGGGCAACACGGGGGTAATGAGAGTTCCCACACTGGGGGTCCCCGCGAGGGTTCACTGAGATGATCCTCGGGAAGCGCTTTGCACCGTGCCCGGAGCGGAGGGATCGCTCAGGGTCTGCCGGGGTTTTTGTGAATAATTCAAGGCGTTGGCCCCTGTGCCTCCCGCCAACACCACCCCTTTCCCCCCTGCACCCCTCCCATCCCCCACCCCTGAGCCCCCTGGCAGCAAGCGCGGAGAATGGGTAGGTGCCCTTTGCAGGCGGGGAGGAACCTGCGGCTGAGGACCCAGGGAGAGCTGCCCGTGGCCTTTCCCCAGTGTGAGGTCCCCGGTCCCCTGAGCCGCACTTTCTTGTCCTTAAATGGTGATGACAGATACTCCCAGGGGACTGCCCAGCCAAGGCCAGCTCCTGGCTTTGATCCCTCATTAAGGGGCAGCGGGGGTGGGGGGGCGCAGTCATGAAGTTCCTCTAGGAGTTGGGGGTGGTGGGCTTACCTGAGCGCGGGCGGTTCCTGAGGTCGCCCCTCGGCCCCTGGGGTGCGGGCAGGACCGGGTCCTGGGAGCTCGGCCTGGGCCTCTCCTCCTTCCCGGGCAAGGCAGCCGGGTCTTGGAGGGGGCACCCGTCCTGCCCGCCCCCCACCTCTCACCCTCCCGCTCAGGTCTCCGCCCCCCAGCCTGGGGTGGCAGGGGGTGAACTTGAGCCGTGCTGTCATTGTCTGGAGATCCACACCCATGTGGCTCTTTGTGGAGGGTCCCCAGTGCCCCGAGGTTTCTACAAGTTCCGGTCCAACTGAGCACAGCTGAGCCCCCTGTTCCCCGCTGAGCATGACACCCAGGGGCAGGGGTGGTGGGGGCAGGGCTGGTCCTTCCCCCTCAGGCTCACTCCCCATTTCTTGGGGGGCGGGGAGAGGGTGTGTTCTGAGGGTCTCCTTCATAGAGTTGGGGAGTCCCCTGGAGGAAGGGGCCACAGAGGGGAAGGGCGTGAGGATGGGGTCCTGCAGATTGTCTTGGTCTGAAGGTGGAAGGCGTTGGCTGCACAGAACCAAGGGGGCCTGTCCTCAAGGGTCCTGTGGGCCATCGTCACCTGGGAGTCGGTGGAGTGTCTGCCCGAAGCGGGGGGAGAGGCCCAGGGCTGCCAGGCGGGGAGGGAGCTCTGTGCCGGGACCTCGCCTGCCCCGTGCCTGCTGTGCCTTCTCAGGTCGGTGTCTCCGCCTCTCTGGGCCTCAGCCGGTTGATCTACCAACATGGCAGGGCTGGTCTAAAGGACCTAGACCTGGCCCCAGGTGCTGCTCGCCCTGGAGCTGGGCTCTGCCGTGGGGCTGCGGCTGGACCCGGACCCGCTCCTCCACGCCCGGGCTGGTGCCCCTTCCCCCGGTGACGAGTCCAGGGCGGAAGTGGAATTACAGGTCGTCTTCCGTTTTTTTTTTTTTTTTACTGCAAGTCTCAAAATCTGGTGTGTGTATTTTACTTACGGCCCGCCTCAGTTTGGACTAGCTGTATTTCAAGCGCTCAGTAGCCACAGGTGGCCCGTGGCTGCCGTATTGAACAGGACGAGAACATTCTTCAGGGCGAGAGATGGGAGTTTGTCTTTGTCCGTTCCGGCGGCTGAAACAGAGCTCCACGGCCTGGGCGGCGTTTACACGACAGAAAACGGTTTCTTACGGCTCTAGAGGCCGGAGGGCCGGGATCAGGGTGCCCGCAGGGTCAGTGTCTGGCAGGCTACGGGCTGCCGACGCCCGGTTGTGCCTCCCCCCCCCCGCCCACCGTGCCGGGTGGGGAAGGCGCGAGCTCTGGGGCCTCTTCTCAGAACCCCACCCACGGGGGCTCCATGCTCATAACCTAATCACATCCCAGAGGTCCCCCCTCCAAACACCATCATCCTGGGAACTGGATTTCGACAGAAGAATTTTTTTGGAGAGGGAGGACCCAAATATTCCAGCCTTAACAACGTTCCTGGTTAAATGGTGTGTGCTAGTCACGGCAAAAGGTGCTTTCCCCCTCTGAGCCTCAGTTTCTCCGTGAGTGGTCTGGCCGGCTGATCTTCAGGGGTCTAACCTAGGGTCCTTGCACGATGCACCTTCATCGAGAAAACCACGTACCATAGAGCTGGGGGAACTGAAGGGAGGACAGTGCTGGTGCGGAGCTGAGCGGACGGACCGACGCGGCAGAATGGAGAGGCCAGAAACAGCCACGCACGGAAAGACCTTGACTTTGGCAAAGGCGACGTATGTTAGCCGGTCGGCGCGGGCGAGGACACTCTGCGGAACAAACGGGAGACAGTGGTCCGTCCGGATGGAAACAGGGAGACTGGAGCCCTACCGCACGCCACGCAGAGAAAAGCACTCCGGCTGGATCAAAGACGGGAAAGTGAAACGAAAACACACACACACACACACACACACACAGGCCTGGAAAACTTCTAGAAGACACGAAAGAATGTATCTGGGGCTCCGTGGTTGGTGACGACTCCCGGAGGCACGGGACATCGGAACCGTGAAAGAGAAGGCGGATAAACCCGGTTACGTGAGGAGTTCAGAGTTTGTGTGCGTCAGAAAATGCCGCAAAGACGGCAGACGAAAGGCCGCGCCCCCGAATGAGGGACGCGCGTGCCACCCGTTTGACCGGCGAGGACGAGGGGTCCAGAACGCATGAAGAGCTCAGCGAGGAAGAGGCAAGTGAGCCGGCGGGAAGCGTGGAGACGGTCGCCCCTGCGGAAGAGGAAACACAAACGGGCTGGGCTGCTCCCGCTGGGGAGAAAGGAAACGCAGTCAGGGCGCCGAGAGGGGCTGTTCCTCCCACTCCGTGTGGATGTAGCGTGGCCACACCACGGTCTCGCTTCGGGAAACAGACGCGGACACGTGCACATCCTAACGCGTGGCTGTCCCCTTCCGGGTGTCTGTCTGAGACAAACGGTGGCCGGTGCACCAGGGCAGACGGGCAAAGATCTGGGCGGCGTTGCTCTCAGCCAGCGAGACCTGCAGACGCCCCAGGCGGCCGTTGTGTCGGGAGAGTGGGGTGCGCGCACACGAGGGGGTCGTGCCGCGCAGTGAGAAGGGCCTCCGGTTCCCGCCAGCCACGTGGAGATGTCGAGTAGGCACAGGGAGCCCTAGGGAAACCCTGGAGACAGCCCGACTCCAGTCGCAGAGCGCTCCACGGCGGGCAGACCAGTGGTGCCGTCAGGAGTGCGGAGGAAGGGGGTGAAAAGCCAGACAATGGTTATTGCAAAATCAGGCCAGCAGTCGCCTGGGGGGGAGGGAGGGACGAAGTGGAGGTTAGGAAGGGTGCACAGGGTGCTTCTGGGTCCTGGCCGCACCCTGATTCTTGACTTGGAAAGAAAAACAAGCTGGGTTCTAAGTGCCTGAGAAGGTCGCGTAGGCTCTGGTTCCCCAGGTGAGACGCGCTGCCCCCACCTCAGTGCAGGGGAGGCCGGGAAGCGTAGTCCGGCCCCCGGAGTGTGTCCGCTCCTGCCTCCCCCAAGCCCCAAGCAGGTCCCGGCCCCTGAGTAAGTACCAGTCGAAATCTGCTGAACGGACACTGGCGGTGTGACGTTGGACTAGCGAAGTAACCCGTAGGGACATCTGTCTGCTCTCCTGCCCAATGCAACGTGACTTTGAACAGGGGTCGCAGTAAAACCACACTGTGGTCACAAACGCAGCACGGGCCCCTCGGAGAACACTTTCTCGATCACGGCAGGTGTACGCAAACGGAGTCCGGAAACAGTCACCCTCCACCCCTCCGGCTCGAGATCACCCCGTGAAACCGGCGTTCGTCGGGCCATTGTTGTGCGCCCCGCAGCTAGCCTTTTGTCCTGAAGCTGGACTTGCGACCCGCGGTCACCCCGCTTTTCTGGTCTCTCTGCACCCCCCGTTTCAAGCGCCCCCGTCCATGGTCCCTGTCATCGCCACCCCCTGCTGTGTTTTGTCACCCCCCACTCCCATTAAGTAACGCCATGGGGACATCCCCAGGGGGAAGGCACCGGGGGAGAGGAGCATTCCCTGTGCGGGCACGTACCCGATCCACCGTCATTTCGGGCGTTGGCCACGTCCCACGAGTCACAAGGTCCATGGGATGCCATTGACCTCCCAGGCTACCATGACCAGGTTGAGAATGTCCCCATGATTCAGTTCTCACCGTGGGGACTTGGAGCTGCTCCTGAGGCCACACAAAGGTGGGTGCCGGCTGGTCCCACGGGGCAGCGTCCCTGGGAAGTGTGGGAGCGTGGGGCCGGTGCTCTGACTCTGCCCTCCTCTCTGCTGGGTTCTCTTGGGCAAGTGCCTTAGTCACCCAGCCTTGCTTGCGTCCTGGTGGGGTGGGGGTGGCAATGCCCGAGGTGGCCCTGGTAGGCCTTCTCTCCATCCAGGTCCCACCCTACAGCCTCAGGTCCCCTCAGAGCCACGCAGAGCCGGTCCTGCTCCAGCTGGGATTCCGAAATCCTGAAGGGCCTGGGTTTCACGAACCTTTTTTTGTTCTGAAGGTGACGCAGACAATGCACGTGAAGTGTCTGGGGGGAGACACAGTCGGCGCTCCTCAGCGGCGGTTATTTATGTCACGGTTTTTGCTGCTATTTACAGTTTGTTTCCAAAGAGGCTTTGAGGCAGCTTGTAAGAAGCAAGTCTCTCCAGGCCCACGGGGCTGTCAGAGACACCGTGCGTCTCCGCCAGGCTGGCTCTGCCGTCCGTCCGCAGGTCCCTGCGTGCTGGGGAGGGGGGGCTGGTGGGGCGCGTCGGCCTCGCTGGCCACTG